TTGCTGGCCTGCCTCAGCGAAGGTTTACACACAGAACTCTTCCTCCTCTCCTCCCTCCGGTGTGTCTCCGGCTCTCTGTGACCTCCGCCTGATGTTTCCACAGTGTTCAGAGTGTTTTCTGACAGGGTGAACGAGCTGCAGTCTCATGTACCTTGGCCGGCGTTAGCTTCCCAACATGTGCGATGCGACCTGTAGTCTCTTCTTGCACTCCGGCGCTGCAGTACGGACGCGTTTTCCCGTGCAGCGGCGTCCATCAGGCACGACATCTCTGAGGAAACAACGCAACACACACCTCAGCTTGTTAGTCTCATGAGCCTGAACTGTCTCTCTACACAGTTTATAAAAAGTATAGATTTGTGCAAAGTGTTGTCCAGCAGAGAACACTGATCTGCAAGTAAGTTAAGTCTTGTGCTGGAAAGTTGAACCTTTTCAAGCGTTTGCTGAACTTCTCTGAAATGTGAAAGGTTCTCTAAGATGTGTGGGTTTTTAAATAACATCTAGGTTTTTATTGAGTTAACTGAGATGTTAGCCTCTCAGAGCCGGGCTCAGAGCCGGGTCAGAGCCGGGTCTCAGAGCTGGCTCAGAGGCCGAGCGCTCAGAGCCGGGCTCAGAGTACGGGCGTGTGTTTGTTTGTTGCACTACACGGCGCCCTTTGCCACGGTGGGATTGCTGCACAACCTGGTGTTTGAGTCCAGAGCGGCAGGCAGTGTGGAGGACGGGGTCGACAAAGATGTCCGCCTTACTCTCACTTCAGCATGTTACAAACCCCCTGCAAGGAGGAGGGAGCAGAGCAGGGGACAGCAAGACAAACAGGTGGAATAAGGCAGGGAGGAAGAGGAGGTTGTTCATACGTTAACCATCCTCATGTTTTCTGTTGCGTCTGAGAGCAATGAGTTCCTGTGCAGCCTTCTGCTGATGGAAGCTGTGATTTACGCTGGCCTCAGTGGTCAGTTGAAGGCAGCAGCAGGTCTGTTTACCTTCTTACCATCCTTCCTGTTTTGATCTTCAGCAGGTTGACCCTTCAAGACATCCTCCACCTGCCCCCGTCTTGCTCCTGAGCCGGCTGCTTTCCTTCCGGACACAGCCTGTAAATCTGAGCACACACGACGACGACACGTACAGGTTTCAATATTTTATAATCAATCAAGTCTGTGTATTCTTTGAATTACTAATCACACATCTCTTAACAGGCCTTTGCTTTTCATCATTTGTTTCTATCAGGCTTTTGTTTGGTTTCCCTAAACACAGAGAGTGAAGCCTCTGTGGATACAGACTGTCGTGTCAGCTCTTTCAAATTTAAATCTTAAAAACCACAATTTCATTTAGTTTTTAAATGAGGGATGAATGAAATGTTGATAAAGGTCTACTGCTATGATTATACATCTTAAAATTAAGAAGGCCTTGCAACTGTTTCTGATCTATTCTGAGGATATTTTCATATAATGTATTCTTTATTTTCATTTGACTGTTTTTATATTAAAGATATGAAGGAACATTTGAAATGAATCCTGTTTGTTAATCACCTCGACCACCAATGAAAACAGCTGTTTCTGCTCCTTTAGCCTGTTAACGCTCCCTGCTGGCCAGACGGCCACATTACAACAAAAGTCAAATGATTGCAGGTGAGTCCAGTTTCTCCATCAGCAGTGCAGCAGTGCCTGGATGTGGGTTTACTCTTAATGTATGCCCCAAATTCGTCATATTAGCCTCTTCTGTTATAAGGAGTTCGGTCTANNNNTGAGATAACTTCTGTTATGAGTTGGCGCTATACAAATAGAATTGAATTTAATTGAATTTTGTGTATTTGTGTACTCATTGTCATCCGTCATTGAGGATTGGGTTATTCCTAACAGATTTTGCAGTAATGTGTGTAAAGAAGCAGAAAGGTGTGGACCTCCTGTGTGCAGTGGATCTGCAGCTGAGGGTCCAGTCTGTAGTCCAGCGCCGACTCCTGCAGGATGACCCGGATCTGATCCTCGCAGTCCGGTGACAAACGCTGTCACAACAAACACATCAGTATTAGACACACACACACACACACACACACACACACACACACTTCGCAAACAAAGCTTTTAGTTCTCAGTGTTTCATCTTTCACCCTAAAGCTATCACAACCGCGCTCTTCTCCGTCTAAGATACATTGATATCTACGACTGTAATGAACCGTAACGAGTGGTATTAAAGGTTGTCAATGGAGAGGTAGGAGAGAGAGGGAGAAAGAGAGAGAGAAAGAGACAGTTTTGTTTCTATGACGACAATATTTTATTTCTAACAATTCGTTATTAGCGTAACAAACATGTTACGGTTGTTTCAGGCAAAAACTGCGGACAAAGCCGGTGGAAATATCGCTTTCTGCATTTTACTCGTCAGTTGTGTGAGAAGCTAGTGCGACCATAAAGGACGGTAAAGGACTCTCAGCGCCGTTTTGTTTCCTTTTTGTCTCTATTGTGATGTTTCTGTCTGACATCTAAAGCTCAGAATAGACGCACACAGTCTGAACAAGCTTCTATATGAGAACGACAAGACAACCTCCAGTATAAAAGCATTATAATGAGGCGCTGTAGAGCTGCACAGATACCCTGGTCTTCTCCAGATGTAAGAAAAAATGTTTGTTTGGTACAGACCCCAACAAGGTTCACATCATTGGGATTATTTTAATATATCCATATCCTGCATATTCAGTAACGCCCTAATGAATGCTAATAGTTTTAGATTTGTTAAAAAATCAAACTAAATGTAGAGATCACTGTCTCAGAACATGGACAGGAACGCTCTGTGGGAAGATCTGTGTCTCACCTGGTCGGCGTATTTGAGTTTGAGGCAGGAGATGACCTGACCCTCCAGCTCGCTGTCGGGCGTCGCCTTGTTCAGGATCGGCTGACAGAACTTCGGGATGTCGGCTTTACAGGCCTTCCTCAGCACCGGGTTCAGCCTGTAGTCTGCAGACAGACAGACAGACAGTTCAGCAGTTGTACTTGTGGTCAAATTCTTTGACTTTTACGACACTGTAAGGCTGAGTGGAGATGATTGATGTCAGGAAGAGTCAGAACTGGACCTGGACCTGTGTGTGTGTGTGTGTGTGTACCTGTGTTCTGGGTGATCTGTCTCTTGGTGATCATCTGTTTGCATTTGGGATCCATCAGCTCGCTGTTCTTGTTCTGTTTCAGACACTGAAGAACGTTCTTTCCCTCAGACTCTGTGCAGAACCGCTGAAACACACATTCACATCAACCTGCTGTTACACACGGGAGCAAACACACAACACACTAAAAAAGAAAACACGCCACCGCTCCACATGTACCGCGCTTCGGGCTCACAGTTTACTTTCAGCATCTTTTAGATTGCTGGACTGACTCTGTTGGATCTAATGCAGACGATTGAAGGGATGATTGATGATTGGTTTTCCTGCACTGATTTTAAGGCGATTTTAACCAGCTTACTATCAGAACTAAGATGTTACAGTCTGTAGAATCGGCGCTGTGCATTTAGAGATGTTCCCGTGGAGCGATACGTCCCCTCGCTTCATTACAAACCAGTTTGTTGTGGACCTGATGCCACACATCTCCGTCCTAAGTGGAGCCGTCTGCTGCTCTCTGGACAGGACCAGCTCCGGTTTATAATCCTGCAGACTCTCACCTAGCGACAGCCCACTTTTCCCATCATCATCATCATTTTTTTTTTGCTCCAAAGTTAGGCTAAATTCTGCCGAAAAGGGATTCACTGACCTCTGACCTCATTTTATCTGAATGAAAACAGGTTCTAGTGGATTTGAATATTTCTGCACACTGAGGTCCATAAACAGTGTTGGAATTGGATAAATTGGGAATGACTGGAAAGCTGAGACAAACTTCGTGCCACCCGTTAACAAGTCAGTGCCCCTCTGGTGCCACCGGAGTGTAAAAAGTCTGGACACTCGCCCCCGATCGGCCATCTTTTTACTGACGTACCCTGATCATGTGCTTGCAGACTCTCATCAGCTGGTAGTCCAGTTCAGGATCAACCATCTCCACCTCCTGCAGCTTAAAGATCCGCTGGTGGCAGCGCTGAGTCAGCTGACGCTTGTTCTCCTTCAGACACTCGATAACCTGCAGAGAGACACAGATACCTTATTACTCGAACCGTGTGATGTGTTTGTTCACACTGTATCTGATTAAGACCACATAAGAACGTGAAAAGATCAGATGTGTTCTGTGACGTAGCCTTTCAGACAGAGTCGTGTAGAGGTGTAATGATGTAGCTGCTGACCTGTGCGTTACCGAAGGCCACGTTCTGACACAGTCCTTTGATGTCCTGCTTGCAGGAGTCGTACAGCTCCGGCTCCAGGCGGATGTCCTCCGACTGCAGAGATTGAGAGAGAAACAGAACCTCAGTTCGGCTGAAGGAAACATCTCAGAGCTCAGAAGATCTGTTTGCTGCTGAGGTTTCACAGATGTTTGAATGTTCTCACAGTAACAGAGTGAACTGTTGCTCTACTGTGGTTGGACTTCCTGTCTCTGAGCTGCTGCTGGAAGCTGATCTAACTCGACTGACTGACTGTGTGTCTGTGAACGTACCATCTCCACCTCCTCCACCCGCAGCTGTTTGCGACACTTGACGGACACTCGCTGCTCTTTGGCGTCCTGCAGGGTGTCGTTCCTCACCGTGGTGCTGAGGCAGATCACGACGTCCACCCTGAACGACAGGAAGACGAGAGGTCAGGAACCCCGTCAGACGTACATCTGAGACAATATGTCAACCCCCTGAAGATGGGTGTTTGTCGGTGCATTAAACAGCGACAGAGGTTTTGCTTTATGAGCCTTTATATGTTTTGTCAGATTATTTTTCTCAACCTTAAACACAACCTCTGTCACACATTTTTAAACCATTGCTCGGTATTTGCTGGATGGAAACTGCTGGCAGCGAACGTTATAATTCAGCCTTCCTCTGAAACACAGAGCTGAAAACCGCAGGAGGAGTTTCAGGAAAGTCAACTGACCGACCTGTCATTTACAAAAACACCTGAAAAAAACATGAGATTTTGTAACTGCTGCTACAACAACAGCAGTTACAAAATACTCTGAGCTCAAAGGATTTTTTATTTGTACTGTCTGCTGCAGATGTAACGGACATATCTTTATCTTATTTATGTTAAAAAAAAAAAAAATTGTGTTTACAGTTCTCACTCATTTAGAGAGATATTTACTAAGACATAGATTCATATAGCACAATATCTTTATAATCAATGAAACACATGAAGTGAGGAAACACTGGAGGCAGGATTAGGAACAGATGAATCTTAAGAATAAGAACAGTTAAAGTCCCTTTTTAATTGAACTGTTTGTTTTTTGTGTTTTTGTTTCTTACTTCTTCTTAATATTGGGACACAGTTTGAGGACGTCCTCCTTGCAGGCCGTCTTGAACTTGTAGGAGAAACGGAAATCTTTGATCTGAATCTGTAGACAGACAGAGAGAGACAGAGAGACAGATGAGCTTGTTCATGAATCCAGCAGATAAAATGGCTGCAGAAGTTGTAACACTGATACACTGATGAGCTCAACTGTGAATAGAAAATGTGTTATGTATATTTTTAAAGAGGTTATCTACGCTAAGATATATTTATTGAGCTGTGAAGTGAATCATATGACTGTACTGTGAGGCAACACATCGATGCTGCTGTTAAAATGAACATTATTAGCTAGTTTAAGAGGGGTGAAAATGTCTCAACATGTTTTAAAATCAGCCTGAACTTTGCAAAGTAAATAAAGTGGACAGTTTGGGACGACTTTACGTCAGACATTTCTATAAAAACAGTGTTAACGCCCTTTAATTAGTCTGTGAAACTGCTGCGCTCATTTTCAAATGTTTACTGATGGAGAGGCATCATTCACAGGAGGTTATAGTAGCTGTTGCTAACCCTAACAGAAGTATTATAGGACAACTGTTCCAAAAACGTCAACAAGCTTCTTATTTTGTTCCTGAAACTTCCTGATTCAGACATTTTCATCCGTCTGCTCACCAGCTGGAAGTGTGTCACTCCCACCGCACACTTCTCATTCATCTCCTTCTGGTGTTTGTTCAGGACCAAACAGTCCATCAGATCACCGGTGTCGATCTGGTTATCAGCTACCTCCTGACAGACAGACACAGAGAGACAGACAGACAGACAGAGAGAGACAGACAGACAGGGTTAGGGTTAGGGAGAGGACAATATGGGTGAACTCTCTATTTTGATTTAATATTTGTTTTATAGAAAAAATTTAAACATAACTCATAAAATCATCAGGTTTTAAAAAGGAACATTTCAAAAAAATAAAAGATCGTTCAAACTAAGATTTTTGCATAAAATAGCCAGACAGATATATTTTGTTAATCCAGAGAATGATATTACTTTATAATCATTTAAAAATAAAACATCGCCATAAAGAAACAAACAATATGGCTGATCACCCAACACTATTAAACACGTATGTTATTGAACAATGTGTGTGCAGCTTTAGGAAGGTTTATATTCTGCACACTGTGAAACAAAAGCTGTTAGAATGAATGATGACGGAGAAAATGATTATAATAATTAGCGAATAATGAGTATACAATTTTCGCACGGAGACCCAGTTTTTACTCTTTGAGGACAGTTCTGAAGCAAATATTCCTCGGTGCAGACTTACGTGACAGTGAGTCTGGATGACGGGTTCACAGGCTCTCAACAGCAGCGCCTCGATCTGAATATCCTATGGACAGAACAGACAGTTAATGCCAAAAAGCCCAGACCAGATCAGGTTCTGGTTAACGGGGCGGCTCATTGGCTGGTGTCAATATGTGTCTTGGCTGATCCGATCATGGACGGTAAGATATCCCCCTTTAAATAGTAGATAGTAGATAATAGATAGTCCCTTTAAAAATCACATATTTTTGAGATTTATTGAGAGATGAGAAACTTTATTAACTTTCTAAAAAGCCATTTCGTCAGATTCTTCATCATTTTGGCCTTCTTTTAAATTCGGGAAACGTTACACATTTATTTATTTATTTATTGGCTGGCTGGAGCCTGGCAGGAGAGACGCTCTGTGGTGGTTTCCCAGACATTAATGCCGTTCTTCGTCATCTGTGATGTGAAAACATTTCCACACAGTCAGAGAAAGTAAAAGTGTTTGTCCTGCTCATAAAGCACAGACACCACAGAGCGTCTCTCCTGCCAAGCTGCTGACAGCGCAGGTTAAACACTGCACCAGGAGTTTAGAACAAATAGTGGTAGGTTTGTATTGAACAGGCACGGCAAAACTAAGTGGTCTGAAGATAAAGCTGAACGGTCACATGATTCATTTATTCATTTCATTTATGAAACACACTGTAAGTTACAGAGGCCTTTGCAGATACGCTCATGTTCCCCAGAGAAACCTTTCAGTCTAAATTTGATGAATTTGCTGAAGAATTATGTTTCTGTATTATGTAGAGAAATCAACGTTACCCATCGAGAACATTCCCTCGCTGTCATTCACTTCTTTGAAAACTATTCCTGGAACCGAGCATTGACTTCATTTCTGTCTATTCAAGGCCAAAGTTAAAAATAAACTCTATAAACTCTCCACAGCTTTGGTTGACTTTTCCCTGAACAACAACAACATGTAAAGCAATGACCCCAGAAGTGTTTTGATCCTTTGGTTTTGCCCAGAAGAATTTCTTTAAACACTCTAAATATTTCTCAGGGGAACGCAAAGGAGCTTCGTCTGTACCGACTACAACACACAAAGAGACAATTCATTTGTTTTGGGTCTCAAGCCAAAAAAAGTTAGAAACCACTAATTCAGAGGAAGATTCTGGATATTTTCCACTTAAACTAAACTTGATTAAAATCTCAAAATTGTCCAGTTTCTCTGTAGCGAGATTGGACAGTTCTGTTTAAAGTNNTATTTCCTAACATAAAAATCCAACAAAGAACATGTTAAAGAAACTCAGTTTGGTGTTAATGCAATAAGCGTGTTGCATTATGGGTAGCAGCAGTGGTTACCTCGGACTCCAGCTCCGTCAGGTTTCCCACCACCTCCCTGCAGTCAGGCACCAGATCCTCCAGGTGATCCTGCAGACACTCCAGCTCCTGGCCGGCCTCCGTCTTCTCGCTGCACCACTTCCCCAGGTCAGTCATACAGCGTCTCTGGAGCTCGGGGTCCAGCTTCACGTCCAGCGCCCTCTGGTGGAGAATCCTCTGCACCTCTACCTTACAGTCCCTGGAGAGCTGCGGGACGAACATGTCGGGTTAGAGGACAGAAAATAAACACTTTCTGGTCTGAGAGGCCTAAAATGATACTCCACTATAGGGGATTTAGATTTCAGAGGCAACAGACACAAACATTTGAATGATTTGTTGTTTTTTTTCACCAAATTATACTCAAATTCAGAGTTTGCAGTCGAGCTTTAAACCTGGAAGAGAGCGATAGAATACGTCACACCTGAAAATGGGACAAAATCATCTGTATGTTCTCACTAAATATGTTGCTCTAGAAACAGGGTTGTATTTAGGACGAAGGAGGAGATGGATATTAAAATTTGGGGTTTTATTGAAGCCATTGTGTCGCTGCCATAAAAGCATTGAAGCCCTAATCAGTGACTACATGTTGAACTACTGAGTGTTTGACAGTAAGTGGAGTATCACTTTAAGAAGAGCTAACACATGTAACAAATCTGATTTTTTTACTGAATTTGCTCCAGTTGATTGATCAGCCACGTTTTAGGTAATTGGAGATTTGAATCTTCACATCGGTTCAGCAGCTCGCTCCAATTAAAGACCAGCCCCAACATGCACCAATACCAGATACGAATTACACAACACAATCACTTCCCCTCCAAACCACCAGTCATCATGACAGGACAATTCCAGTTTCCTGTGATTAGCATCGTACTCACAGTCCAACCATGGTTCTTTTCCTCAGACGAGCCACTGGCAAGCTACGAGAATATTGTCTGGTCAGTCAGAAAGTTCACACTTCCTGTTTTATTTATGCCGTTTTTACTTTTCTTCTCCTTACTGATATACATTTGTGTTTATATTGTCAGTTTGGGCATTTAGCAGATGCATTAATGTACCTTCCAGTGAGTGCATGAAGCTTTGATAGAGCTTAATTCCAGCTTGTTAGAGACATTATCGTGATCAGTTTCTCCTACTAATGACTGCTGATTCATTATATTCTTATTTAACTGTTGCTCAGTGAGCTTTGTCTCTTTCTCCCCTTTCAACTGGCTTACAGCATTTCTTTCTTCACAAGACCTTCTTTCAAAATAATAAAAATAAAAACTAACCTCTACCTTCCTGAAATGTAGCAGATATCAGGGCTGTGTATTGGCGATACAATACAATACAATACAATACAATACAATACAGGGACAACGATTTTTAAATCCATTTTAGGAAAAAAGTATACAGCAAATACCATTTTTTTTAATGAGATCTGCATTTGTATCTGTCAAACTCCTCCTGTAAGAGGGACATTATACTTCCATATAATGTAATTGGAGCGAACTGATCCTTTAGAAGTTCAGGTGTCAGATATCTTCCAGTGATCGTGGGTGCACAGAGGTGTGCTGGGGTAGAAAAGGTTCAGAGACTCACCCTCCGTCCCTGCTCCACAGAGCGGTAGGCGTGGCGGTACAGGCAGGAGAAAATGGCGCCGGGCGGCATCATCTCACTGGTCTCGTTCCAGCCGCGAGTGTGGCAGAGCCGCGCAGCATCGCCCTGACACTTCTTATACAAGATGGGATCCAACCTGCACAACACCACACAGAGTAACACACTGGTTAACAGCTGGCTCTTCATCTTCCTCTTCCTCAAAGCTCACAGCTCTTTACTGTAAAGCGCTTTATAAACTCAGACCGCCGGTGGTTCAGCGGGACTCACTTCCAGTCTCTGGCAATGAAGTACTGCAGCTCCAGCAGTCTGTGTTCACAGTCCTCCACCATCTTCTCAGTGTACAGATGCTCCATCAGGCAGGACAGAATCCTGCAGGATCAGAAAATATCCAATACTTAAAGTTCAGTTTATATTTAGATAGATTTAAAGTTCCGTCCACACAGAGAACTGTAACAATAACAGAGCATCCACACTGATAACGTGGAGCAACAACTAAAATCATCTCGTAACGTTGCGTTTGAGCGTCAGAGAGGACTCACATTGGGTCTCCACTGCGGATGTGTTTGCAGGCAGTCTGGATGACGGATTCGCAGGCCTCGTTGAGCGCTCGGTCGATGCGGTAGTCGGCTCCGGGGTCGGCTTCTTGGATCAGAGTCTGGAGCTGAGGAGGGAAAACGACATCAGCAAAGAAACCCAACAGAGAACAGGGTGCACACGCTGGGAGCTGGTCTGGGTATCTACTGTGTTTCCATCCAAATGCATCGCAAACTAACAGAATTTCAACTAAAGAAAAAGAAAATGTGAATGAACGCTTGTTTCCATCCAATAGGAGTTAGTTCACAAGATAAGCAGTAGGTGGCGCCAGTTACAGACTACATACACACAAAGGTTTATGTAGACGACCTGAGTGAAATACAATCAAACATTTCCAGGATATTTGGTCATTTTAATAAATGTTCCAGGTGTTTCCACAACTGGTAAATGAGTCTGTAAATTTCCAGGTTTACCAGAATGTGTGGGAATCCTGTAATGGTACAAATTAGACCTGTTGAACTTCATCAGTTCTACATCTGCAGAGACTCGTACGGCAGAGTGAGCTCCCAAAAGTGTTAAAGAAAAGGAGAAGTGATGCAGCAGAATGTAATCACTGCACCACAATGACGACATGTTGTGTAACATGACCAAACGTTTCCTTTTTCATGACTTAAGTGTTAAAACAGAGAATATTCACTTCAATAAAAACACAACTCATAGCCGATATAAATGGCGACTCACTGCCTGTTGACACTTGGGGTCGATGGCGCCCATGTCCCCGCGGCCGACCCTCATCAGGCAGTGCAGCGTGCGTCCTTTGCGGTGCAGACCGGAGCAGTGGCCCTCGATCTCGCTCCGACATTGCAGCACGATCTCGGGACTCAGAGAGAAATCCTCCATCAGCATCCGCCTGTAGTCCATCATCTCGCCCTGACACTCGCCGCTGACCACGCGACCTGAAACACACATGCAGAACAATGCAGACTGAACTGTGGCTTTACAGCAACGCCCTGTAGTTACAATATTATTAATCTTTTTATAAACCCTTCATGGGAACATAAGCTGTTTCTGATATCTCCAATAATGATTCACATATACCCGTCTAACCCAGAACAGTACGATAGGCAGACTTAAATACATTAATTAGATTGCAGTAGAAATTTGATGAAACTTTGGCAGATTAATATAAACTCAAATACAAGACTTTTTTTTTTTTAAATTGTTACTTTAAATTAGACTAGATTAGAATATATAAGTAATTATGCATTAATATACGTCTCAATCAAAGCCTATTTTAGGCTTCTTGCTTTATAGTGATCAATAACTAAATGATGAATTAATAACCATGACCATTTTTTCCCCAATTACAATGAAAATGGAAAAAAAAGGTGTCAAAAATAGAAGCAGTAAGTAATGATACGACTCAATATCCCGCCTTCTCTCCCGAGCTTGGCACAAAAAGGTCGCTACGAAAGGCTCCCTCTGCCTGTTTCTATATTTATCCAGCCAAAAGAAAATCATCATAAATGGACATTTAACTAAGAAAAGTACATCTATTATGTCCTCGTAGACAGGACAGCAAAACAAGTGAACCTCGTTCTCAGTCTGCAGCGACATTAAACCCTCGCTCTCTACGTTATTGTTCGTATATGTTCGTGTCTGACCTCTTTTCATCAGCAGTTACCACGACGAAACAAATCAACATATTTGGATAAAATGTTCACTAAGAAGAAGGTAGGCCTTCCAACCAATCCAAACAATGAGGGTTACTGATGCGACCAGCTGCATGCGAGAGAGCGCGGCAGCCAATGAGACGTGTATGAACATTGGTCCAGCAGAAGAAAAAATGCTATTATAGACTAAATCCAAGCACTTTCAAGGTCTTTCCAGGTCTTTCCAGGTCTTTCTAGGCCCGTAGCAACCCGCTCTTCACTGTTCCTCCAGACTAGTATCAGACTGACAGGGCGAAGGTTCATTGTGTAGTTGAGACGTCAATAAAGGACTCGTGGGAACAGACGCTGACAGATAATGCAGCTAATAGCGGCCTCGGGCTGTCGGCAGTGACAGACAGGAGGTTGACTGTGAGGCAGAGCCGCTTACCTCTGTGCACGGCCGACTCCAGGCAGAGCAGCAGGTAGGACAGGCGAGCCTCTCGGGCCCGGGGCATGTTGGAGTCCGCGCTGCAGCGGTATTTCCTCAGGTCCGACTTGCAGGCTTTGGCCAGCGAGTAGCTCACCTTGTAGTCCTGAGCGATCAGCTTCTGCCTGGTGGTCAACGCCTCACGGCACTGAGGACACAAAGACATCGCGACATGTTCAGGAGGTTTTATTGACAATAAAGGACAGCTGTTGCTCCTGAACGGTCTTATAATTAACTGGTAGGCCTAGCGTTAACTTTTAAGTGTTTGAGGGTTATTACAGGTTGGTAGTCAGCGATTAATGTGGGACACTCTAAGTTAACTCGCTTTCACTTGGCTGTTCTCACCATAACATTACAGCCACAGCCCATAATTAACCAAAAATCCTGCGATACGACTGAAGAGAACCAGTCTCTAAATTCCCTTTACAGGATTTGTGTATCAAGGCCAGATGTTTTTAAAACCTTTCATGTTCCAGACGTCTGCAGAAACACTACAAATGCTAATTTCTCTTGAAGAATATGAAGACAACAGCTCAGACTCACCCGCTCAGACATCGCCTCCTCAAACTTGTGATTGAAGAGACATTTGTAAACTCGTCCTTCTCCGGCCAGAGTCTGAAAAAAATAAAAAACAGTCAACAGCTGTTCATTTATTTTTACTGGAAGTGTCTGGAAAACGTCCTTCTTTTGATATCAGTAACTCCATCAGCCAGAAATTCAGGATCATCATGACTGGATGACGTATCCATTAACAAAGGAGCCTTGTTTCAAAAGAGAAAAATGATCTTGTCGAGCGTGTTTTGTATTATAATCTGGTTTTAAGAAAATATATCCAACTGTGTCGTAATAAGATCTTACAGCGAAAATTGAGGTTAATTTAACAAGTTACAACAATGGTTGCATAATATCCCAACAGAAGAACCAGATTATTGTCCTTATTTTCAGAGTAAACGGAAGCACTCGCACAACTTCTCAGTTTAAAAGAAAGTCGTCTGGTCTCAGTGTTGGAAATGAAGCAGCTGGTTAGTTTTTCACTGTTTTAATAATGTTTCTGGTTCCTTCATTCAAGACAAAGTCACTTATTGTTATTCTGCTGGCTGGAAGAAATTGTGTCCAATTGTAAATTTAATCTTAGATTAAAAAGGTGCAACTTCTTGAATTCAGCTCAATAAAGTTTTCTAAATAGTTATTTTAATTATCTTAAATAACTGAGTTTTTATTGGTTTAGTTTGTTCTAGTTTTAAGGCTCATTAGTCTTTCAGTGGTTAGACTTTCATGCTAGTTTTAAGAATTATAGCCAAGCAAAATCAATATAAGAACATTTTATTATATTTAAGAATATTTGGTTTATAACTGTTTTATTATTATTATTGTTTAGGATTTAAACACTTCAACAGCCTTAATGTGAAAATGACTTCACAGACGTTGCTTTAACTGTTGTTACAAATGTCCTCATTTATAAATGACCTCATTGGCCTTAGAGAGGTTTTTAAGCTCATAAATGAATCTGGTCACTCATTAGCTTTAAGGCATGCGTGCATCATTAACGTGGGATGTTAATAATTAGAGATTCCTCTGTTGATGTGACTGCAACACTTTTCTTTTTACTAGTTCGTTTAAAGCTGTCTGCACGTTTTAAAAGGACAAATTTAGCATGTTTTTAAACCTGAAAACTGAACTGAGGGACAATTTAAAGACCAACATAAAGAAAGAAAGCTGTTAAACCGACCAACACCTGATAGAGAAAATGCACAGACAGGAAAAAGGTGTTTAAAGGAGGTCAGATACATTAATGTTATGTTATAACATCAAATATAAATGAAATAGAATAAAATAAAACAGGAAATGATACTCACGTTTTCACAGAAGCGCTCCCGGTCATCGCGGCAGGCGAAGTACAGGTAGCGGTCCAGGTGGAAGTCGTCTGACGAGAGCTCGGCGACTCTCATGATGGACTTCTTACAGTCGTCCTTGATGGGGTGCGCTCCCGGCTGCTCCTCGACCTCCCGCACCAGACCTTTCTCTAGACAGGCGATCACCTCGCCCTGAGAGTGGATGTCCTGCACGGAGAGTCGCACAGTTACAGCCGGGGAGGATCATTCAGTATTTATTCTGTGTTTTAATTGTTAGGTTTTACATTCTAAATCAGTTTTTTTAACCCGATTTATTTCAGATAATCCTTAGAAAGAGACAACCTTTATCTGCTCGCAGTTGTTTAGAGTTTCAGTCCTGGTTGGAGAGACTTTAATCATTTCTACGCACAACAATAATCAAATTTTTGCCAGTATTGGAGTGAAAAGGCATTAGTTTCCAGGAGTTTTTCTTGACAGTAAAGAAAAGAACTTGCTCACAAACGGTCATATAAACTGCGGTTTTGGGCAAATTGAGTTTAGATCAAGTCAAATTTATTTTATTTCACAGGAAACTCAACTTCTAGAGAGTGTTTTGTAGGAGACATCACTGTCCGTCAAAGTAAACGTGGTCAGTCTAATCTCCACTGCGAGCCGCTCCGGCGCTCTGAAACGAGCCGGCCGTGACAAATTCCTGATAATGAGACCGACTCTGCTCCCGCTGACAAATAAATAATTTGCTCCGAGTTATAATTGTGCCGCCGTGATATCCCGTAATAACTGCGTGTCTAACAGGCTTACGGGGTTCAGCTTGGCTCAGCGGCAGGAAAACACGTTCAGAAGAGACGGATTCGCTCCGCTCGCTGACGAACCGCCGTCAAACTACTCTCTTCTCATTCCAGCTGAGTCACACTCGATGATGGAGGTTCATAAAGACCCACCACAGAATCTGGGAAACTTCAGCTGTTTGCCAAGTATGTAAAACACCATTAACAACATCCACTGGTACTGTTGTTCTATCTTCAAAGTGTTTCTATCACATATATCTTCTGCTGTACGTCACCTGTCATCCACTGTCTGTCCCAACAGTGAAAAAAAAAAACAGCATATTTTAGGTATTTTCAGGTATTCTTAATGGGATTTGTGTTTCTTAATGGGAGTGTTTATAGGGGCTGGTCACTGATTACTGTTCAGAGGGAAAACTTTATAACTTTATTCACTAATTTTATGTAAAACTGGATCAGATTTTATGGAATAATATGTTCTGTTTCCTCCTGATGTCCTCTGACTGCTCTGCCTCAGTGGTTTCCTTCAGTACCGTTCTTTGTTTATGTTATATAATTAATACAAGTTGAATCATCAACTTCGTTCCAGCGTCAGTACCGGGAAAATCCTCTGATGCCGTCTGAAATGCAGGATCAGGTATCAGAGAACTGATACCACATAATTTATTGGCCTCCGTAACGAAACCCAGCAACTTCCCAGCAGTGTCCTGTTTACCATTATTTTCCCCAGGATGGCGAAGTCATGACCCTAATGTTCTCACACTAACCCTCAGCTCACCAACGAAGGCAAGGAGCCAATCAGAGGCTGAGGAGGGCACTGCCAACGAATGTATAAGAGCACTGCAGAAGAGTTGATTGATTATATAATATATTTAAACTATATTTTACCGATTGATCACAGAATGAGGAACAACAGCCGGTTGAGTCTCCTCACCTTCTCTCCGGTGCTGATGCTGCCGCAGCGCAGAGTGTTGATGTCCTCGCGGCACTTGTCCATGAAGCCGCAGATCAGCCGGTAGTCGCTGAAGACGATGCTGGTCATCTTGGTGATGTACTGGTTGCACTGGTAGTCGCTGATGTTGCCACGGTGATCCACCAGGCAGGACACCAGGTAGCCCTTCCCGAGCTCCTCCGCCGCACATTCTTTAATCTGAACCGAGAGCACAGCCAGCGTCACGACTCTGCACAACAACTGTCTTCCTGCTGCTACTCAACATTTACTCCTACCAAGTGGAACAAACTAAATAAAATCTGTGGCTGGCAGGACTTTACCGTAATAAACAGTCAAACTGTATGACTGTAGAAGGATTTTAGCACTGTTGATTTTACGCTTAAAGCTGGAGTTTTACTCCATATTTTAGCTTAAAAATACAAGTTTTTAATCATCATTCTGCCACATGAAAAAGGTTTTTATCATGAGATATGGTGTTTTACTGTATTTAACCTAATTAAAATTTGTATGTAAAAATCTCCCAACATATTTTACAGTTTATATCAAAATACACAAACAAAATGCAAATCCTGTAGTTTTTACACACTTGATGGTAAGAAAGGGTCAAGTATAGTGAGCACAGATGGATGATTTAATATTATAATATTCAGACCGAACTGACAACCAGAGCCTGAAACGGGCCAGTTCTACTGTCTGTGTCTGACTTCTGATTGAGTTTTTCTAGTAAAGTTTTATCGACACAAAACACACTTTTATAGAACATAAAGCCTATAGCATCGTCCATTATTCACTCTATTTAGTCTCCACCAACTCCTGAGGTAAATATCTGGCTGCATAACGCTGCACTACGTTCACCAGCTACTCCCCAACTGTGTCTGTCTGCTCGCGTACGGTGGTTTTAACAGAACACTAAAGCGCTCTGCAGAACTGAGAACTGCAGCGATGGGCGACAACGACCACTTTCACTGCTTTTGTATTTGAGGACTTCCTGTTATTGGGCGCTGCCCTCTGCAGCATCGAAGTGCTGAAGATTCGCGTTTTGTCTGCTGTGCATTGTTGAAGAGCAACAAGCTCAGTTCATTCATGCACAAGCTGAGCTACAATCATTTAATCTACAAAGGAAACAAAGTAATCAACAACACCTGCTTCCAATCGCGCTGTTCAGACGAGGAGAACGCAGATAACATCAGTTCTTTGGCGTTTTTATTGCTCGATTATGACTATAAAGCACATTATTTACACATCAACTGCCAACAGTGAAAGCCACAGACTGATGAAACATTGTGGGCTGATGGTTTTGAGGCGAAAGCAGCTCCAGGAAGCTTCAGGAGGCTTTTTAAAAAACAAACTGCAGCTTGACGGCTGATGCAGACGCTTCAAACAGATCTGAAAAGATTACGTCTTCCTGTACATTTGAGTCTGGTGTTTGAACTAGAATTATATATGATTGTTTCCTCACAGATGGAAACGTGTTTGTGTATTTGTGCCAAATAAAAGTCGAACACAATGAGCCACGTTCAGTTAAACCTCAGTGGCCTGCTGGTTTCCTGCTCAAGTGTCACACTTAATTTTAAAAGGAAAGGAGAAACTTTACTGCATTGAAAGAGATTTTACAGCAGTAAGGGATGAATCTCTGAAGAGGAATCTGTTTCCTCTCTTTATTTTTGTCCTGCATCCTGTTTATACCGGCACGCACATGTGCAGTGTTCAGTGTACTGTACGTGAACGCTCATGTTTTCTGTGTTCTCAGGTGAGTTTATATGGACAGAGATCAGTCTTCAAACAGTCTTAAAAGTGTTCATCATTTCTCCTTAGTCTTGTTTCGTACTCAGAGGAATCCAAATCTATAATTACAACAAACGAGGATGTCGGTGGAAGAGTGAGGTGAGAAAACGTGGATGAAATGAATGAAAACGATCAGCGAGGTTTTCTATAATCTCCTGGAGGCTGAAGTTAGAAATGAAGGCTTCGGTGTCGGCGACTGACCTCAGAGATGGTGGTCTTGCAGACTTCCACGGCCACAGACTCAAACTTTGGGTCGGTGGTCAGGTTCAGCTTGTAGTTCCACAGCAGCTGGAGGAGAGAGGATACATGAAACATCTGGATTACACTGATATTCACACACAGTTTAACTAAGTGAACCATCTGTCTATGTCTCCATTACTAAGAGCTTCATCTGGAAAATCTCACTTTTAAGTCTTAATTTTCTGTCTACTGCGACTCAACGTGGTAAAACAATAAAACCTGACTAGTTTAAGTGATACATATACACTCTACAATGAGGCCTTTCTGTCATGATGGACGCTGTTTTGTCCAATCTTGTTTTAACTGAACATAGAGTAGATTCACCTTCAGTCCGCTCTCTAATGTGCTCAGCTGAAGCATACAGGAGTCTGTACAGAATATTGTGTAAGTACAGAATATTGTGTAAGTACATACAGCTGAAGGTAACAGCGTTTAATGAACAACTATTCAATTCAATTAAATTAAACTAAATTAAATACAGCCATGTGTGACTGTCCAAATGTTCAGTTCTCAGCAAACACTGATTTAATTTGTGTGCCAAAAGAAGTCCAGACCGCGTACTGCGGGATAACACTGGGCTAAATTTAGTTGAAAAGTGAGCATTATATAACCATCATTTCAATGACAATGTGTTTCACATTAAAATACAGTTATTTCTCGAGCAGTGGTTGTCAAACTGGGGTCCGGGGGCCAACAGGGGTCTTTGAGTGGACTGCAGGGGGGCCCCCAGCAAAAGGAGGGATAGAATATTTTAACTTTTATCACATTTTTTGGAACTACGAGGGAAGAAAAGGCTGTTTTGATGTTACACACTGGAGCTTTAAATGGTAGAGAGCTCAGGAAGAGCATCTCTGTGCTTAACATACACAACACAGAACTACAGGATAACACGATGCATGCTGGGAAGTGGTGTTTTAGGAAGCGAGTGAAAGCACTTACGTGGTTGCATTCGGCGGCGATCTCAGTTTCCTGGAAGAGAGAGAGAGAGAGATAATTTAGGTTGAAGGTAATTTCTCCAGAGAGTCTTTATGAGGTCAGTAAAGAGGAACGTGAGACTAAGTTTGTCACTCAGTCTTCGCAGCATCCCATAAGGCACTGCCAGCTTGTCTGTAGAGCAGCGGTGCGTTCAGGTGGTTGTTGAGAGCTTGGGACATTACGGTTAGATGAAGACGTGCTGCTCTGGCCCACTAGACCTCAGCAGGGACACTCCTTCATAGGTGGCCTCCTTCCAGTGAAGGACACGGCGTCTGAGGCCGATCTGCTCAGTTATTTTCCTGCTGCGCTGACCTGAGCTGACCGGTCTGACTTCCTGCTGCTAGAGGCAGCCAAACGCCTTCAGACCGACAACCCAAATCACTCCTGAATTCCCGGGAGAGGCCCGACTCTTGTTTTCTTATACATTTGTAGGGTCTAAAGGGAGAAGCCTGCTATAGTTGTGTACATTTTACAGTTTAAAAAGGCTCAGAAAGAGAAAAAAATATGAACTATTAACCCCCAAATACACTCACACACAGGTTATCTAGATCTGCCTGTGGTGGAAAAGGGGGAAACAGAAGAAGATGTTGGGCATTTGAGTTGTTTAATAGAAAGTGTCTCAGAGTTCTCTTGTGATTTTTGAGTCCACTGAAGGTGAAGACCCTGCTCTGGGGTTAGAAACAGGTTAAAGTTAGGACAAGGAGCGAGGGAATGCATTATGTCAATGACAAGTCCCCACAAATATCATAACACAAGGGTGTGTGTGTGTGT